GAGCCCTCCTCCGAGCCTTCCCCAGACTCCAGGACTGGCCCATCTTCCTCCCCAACCTCCTCACTGTCCGAATCTTCTGCCAGCTCCTCTGGCAGGTTGAAACAACCAAATAGAACGACATAAATAATAATAGGACTTGGTGTTCCTCCATTGCTTTATGTAATTTCCTTCTCTGTTTTTTTTCAGACTCTGCAGAATGTATATTTTTTCTCCCCCTCTCTCTTTGCAGAATGTATATTTTTGGCACGGTGCCTGCTTGAATGTATATTAAGAGATTTAAATGTCACGAAGAGGAGGGTGAATATTGGACTCAGCCCCAGAAACAATAAAATAACAAAGGCATCCATGAGCTAATTTCCCCTTTCTATTTCCTTGGTACAAACGAGGTAACATTCAACAGCAGATTGTGGAAACGTTTCAGTCCATCGGAATAGAGCTGGAAGGGACCTTAAAGCATGGATTAATTCCCAACAAGATAAGATTTCTTCCAAATCCAGAGAAGTAATTTGTTTGAAGCTTGAGTTTTAGTCTCACGCTCCCATGGCAGTTTTATCTTTGGCCAAAGTCAAATTATACAAGCTCGGTAAAGCAAAATCCATCAATCAGAATAGAGCTGGAAGGGACCTGGGAGGTCTTCTAGTCCAACCCCTTGCTCAAACAGGAAACCCTAGACCATTTCAGTGACTATCCAGTCCTTTTCTTTAAATTCTCCAGTGATGGAGCACCCACAACTTCTGAAGGCAACTTCTGTTCTACTGGTTAATTGTCCTCCCTGTTAGGAAGTTTCTCCTTAATTTCAGGTTGCTTCTCGCCTTGAGAATTTTTTATTTTATTTTTTATTGTCTTACACAGCATCTTAAGTATACATTCACATAGTTATTCTTCTTCTATACTTTTATCATTTTAATATATTTATTACTTCATTTAATAGATTATAATATACAATTTGGGTTGCTTTATTTAGCATCCCTTCTTCCTGTTGTAACACCACTTCATTTCCCCTTTCTTTTCTCCCTCCCTCCCTTCTCTACTTTCTTCCTTCTTCCTCTCCTTCCCCTTCCTTCTTCCCTTGCCTTTCTCCTGCTCCTCCTCTTNCTTTTCCTCCACCTCCTCTTCTTCTTCTTTTCTTCATCCTTTCTTGTTCTCCTTCTCCTTCACCTCTTCCACCACCACCTTACCTCTTCCACTGCTTCTACTTCTTCTTTTTCTTCTTCTCCTCCTCCTCTTCTTCATCTTCTTTCTCCACCTCCTCCTTCTTTTCCTCCTCCCTCTTGGTGAACATGTTAACCTTATTGTCATGTTCTCCATCTTGACGTTGCTCCACTCTGCCTTTTCGTTTCTCAGATGTGAATATTGTTCCTCCCATCAACACTGCAATGCATACAAAATAAATAAATAAAGGCATAAATACAATCCTCCTGTAAATAATTACAACGAAGGGGTGGCCTGAGAAATGGTTAAGATCCTAGATTCTGGCCTCTTCCATTTGCTCTTCCAGTGGTGTTAATCAGAAAGGAGAATATTTGTAGCTTGGGGTTGAAATGAGGGGTCCTGGGTGCTCTCTGAGCTTGGTAGGTGTGTCCCCCCCCCCGACGTTTCATTACCAAACCAGGTAACATCATCAGTGCACTAGCAGTGCACATTTGCAAGAAAACAACCAAGCTCAGAGAACACCAAAAACCTTGAGCGACAAATAATATCTTTTCTGATGAACACTACCAATGTTCTGACCCAGGCTTCCCAAGAGCATGAAGCAAACTCCTGGTCCCAACCAAAAACCCTTTTTATTAATTTCCTGTGAATTCTGCTCATTCCCATCCAGCAAAGTTTTTCAAACAAGGGAGGATTTACAGTCACGGTGTGAAGTTTCCCCCCCCCCAAAAAAAACCTAATTAATTTACGAGCCTCGAGACAAAGTTAAAAAAAAAATCCATTCATTTATTAGGATCAACATTTTTGGCAGGTTCTTCTGCGGAGCCGAAACTGATTCCCGCTTAATGGCATCTGAACTTTACCCCTCTATCCCCTCCCTTCTGTCTGTGTCATAAATCACATCCACCAACAAGGTGCTGCGGCAGGCTATGAACGTGCGCATTTCACACGATAGCTGTAGAAATATGAGACCTGACTCTGGCCAAAGGTATGCATGGAATTCTCCCTTTTCCTATGTCAAAGATAGTAGTCATGGAAACACTGTACAAGTTGACACATAGCCCCTAAAAAGAAAGCCCATTTTGATTTTCAAATAGTACCCTTTACAAATTAAGGTACACCGATGGATATATTTTTAATGATGTATTTTCCAGCCATTATTCTGTGGGTATTCCATTACTTACTCAGGCAATGATTCAAAATCTGTGTTTGGAACTGAGACAGTTTCTTCTCTCTTTGTAAAATCTGTTCACCATAAAAATGCGGGAAAACTTTGAGAAACTTTTCAAAGAAACCTGTGTTGATAAGAGAAGTGGGAAGTGATCAAATTACATCAAATGCTAAAATTTAGCCAAATA